TTAAGTTTGAGGAACACCATACATACCGATCACGGAATAGGCGATTTGGTATCCGGTATAACTCAAACTTCTCCCCTTCAAGACAAAATATTCAGTAGTAAGAAAAAATGTACGTGACCTCCTTTAAATCATGATCGTGACCATGACGATGAACGCAGCTGTAACTGTGATGACCGTGACCGTAAGCCTGAACGCGAACGTGAAGGTGAAGGTGAAGGTGAAGGTGAAGGTGAAGGTAAAGGTGAAGGTGAACTTGACGCGTTTTGACTGTTGTCGTCAGTTACATTCAACCATCTTTAGGCTATTCAGGGAGCAAATTCTCAATTTTCTGGAAAAGGCTGAAAGCTTTCCAACCTTTCAAATCATCTTGCCCTTCATGTAAGGTAATGTTTCAACAGATATCGGTGTAGGCAAGTGTTAGTCATTTCCTCTTTAATTTTGATAGGAGTGTTGAAAGCAAATTTATCGCCATACCACAAAAGAGGCCGGCGAGAGGCAAACATTTTGCATTAGGCGTCTATCTCCACGGTAAAGCTGGAGCATGTGGTCCCTAGGAGAAAGAATTACAATGGACGTTATAATAATCTTTCAGTCCGAATTCAAAAGAAAGCCTTTAAACGAGTAAGCGTTGTGTTGCAGGAAAAGACTTGCACAGCAAGAGTAATACTATCTCACGAGTCAACATTGAGCCCGAGTCAAGCTCGAGTAACGAGTCAAGTTCGAGTCAAGGAGCTCTGGATCAGTGCAGAATTAACCCTCACAAACGGCCGAAAAAAAGCTTAAAACTAGGTGCTCTTGTATCCCTCACATCATTTTGACACAGAAATCAAAAAAAAAAGAGAAAAAAAATCTAAAAGCTAAAAGAAGGGAGTAATTTAAATTGACTCGAACTCGACTCGTGACTCGAACCCGAAATATTTTAACTCGCATTGGGAAGAAGGGACGTGTCATTATTGATCACCCGGTGGCGGTGGGGAGGGGAGGAGGGAGAGAAAGGGGGGTGGTCAGAGGGTTTTCTTTTCCACAAACACGTATTGAGGTCGTTCTCAATAAAATATATGAGTTACCTTAGCTTTAGAGCTTTAACCATAAAGAATTACAAATTTTGAAAGAAATACTGACAAGCGATCGAGATCGGACGGTTTCTTAATAGAAATTTAGCAGTGGGCATTCCATGCAGTGACTCTCCTTGTTCACTGTTTCCAGGAAGAAAATAGGAGGGCCCGGAGGGAAAAACCTTCAAAGCATTTAACACTGGATCCGGTAAAAGAACCCGGGTCGAAGCGGAGGGAGACGGGCGCTTTCACTCAGTACTGCGCCATCCCTGATCCCTCACAAAACTCAAGTGTCCTCGTGCTCCACACGAACACGTCTAGGAAACTAGTCATAGATACCTGTGGCACTTCATGAAATGAAGTGTTGTTATGACATAAATCAGAGCTGCGAAAATGTACGATCCGTAAAGACAACCTAAAATCAATGTAAGAAATATATAAATCTAGCCAACAAAAGATAGAAAACAGACCTAAACCGTTCCAAACAAGCAACTGGTAATAAAACAGCGGAATAGGGAACAGCGCATTTCTAAACAGTGCGATTAAAGCGGCGGTGGAGCGAAAACAACCAGAGGAATTTGGTTGGTTCACGTAACGATCCCGAGCCAAACCTTCCTCGATTTCACTCGTCTGTAACTATTGCGTCGTTTACAATCGTTTCATTAACTGAGCGCCTAGAACAGGCTAAAATAACCCGTAATACTGGAGCTGACCTTCTCGATACGACGTCGGAATGGAATTCTCCTTACTATATGGAAAGAGGTCTCTATGTGCACGATAAAGGCTTTTTGCATGAGCGACCTTCTCTCGCTGAAGTTTCAAGTTCATAATCATCTCAGCACGATTTAGAACGATTTACCCTCTGCAATATAGCAAAATTTTCTGAGGAGATCTTCGACTCCTTACGTGGTCTTTTTTTGTGGTGTGTTCTGATAGTAATGTTCACAGGAGTAACAGTTTCTAAGAAATGGCGCAGAAATTACAGCCTATCAGAGAGCAGTTATCCCATTTGACATATGACAATGAACAATAGTAATATGACTAATTTTTATGAAGCAGTTTCCGTGGATAATAATATGTTGAGTCGTTTTAGGAAAAGGTTTGATTAATTGACTGATGGACTTAGCGACGAAAAGACTGATCAAATATATTAAAGTTCACATGGCAACCAGGTGGGCAATCAGACATGGTTTGATGCTACTCTACCTTAAAGATTTAATGAATGTAACCGAGAAGGGTCTATGAATTGTGGGCTCTATCAATTCCTAGGGTCTATGAACTTCTCGCTTACATTCATTAAATCTTTAAACCAGAGTAGCATCAAACCATATCAGACTGATGAAAGATTGTCCGCCTCACATGGTCAAGTCCATCAAGGCTTTGACCTTGAAAGATTTTAGGAACCAGGTAAATTATCATGTTTTACTGCTAATACATTACCTCTCAGAGTATGAAAACTCAAATCGAAACCCCTTAAAGCGCCCATAATTTCTTCAAACCATGAGAGCAAATGCACTAATACCTAAATACAACAAAGAGAAATAGAATATATAGGAATCATTTTATGGCAAAAAATTTGTTATAGATAATATGTAATTAATATACACACTCGTGTCTGTTATAAAACTTGAATCCTTGCCAAAGACAAATCAAAATGCAGAGAATAAATAACTCCAATTCCATATCGATAGACAAGGCATCTTCTGATACACTGAGTACTTACTTCAAAGACAACTATCCCGACGAGAAACACTGTTGATATCAACTGAGTGGAGAACTTGAAATCTGAAATCATACAAGTTGTCCATGTCATGAGTACAATCTCTAAGTCTAGTTTTAAGCTCGTTATTAAAAAAAAATATTGAAATAAATAAACAAAATGATAAATGAATCAGGGCCTATATACGATTGAAAATCATGAAGTAAAAACCAATAGATCGACCGAAAATACAAACGTTAAT